AGATAATTGTCTAATATAAAATAGAATTTAAAAATTTAGTTTAAAAAGCTGTTGCATATATAAATAAAGTTTATTTTTTCTAAATTTGGAATATGTTTAATTAATTAATTTTTTAAGTCTATGTTTAATAAATTTTTTAAGTCTGTATTCAATAATTTTATTCATTTGATAAATACATGTATGTCTTTATTTTGATATGTTTAATATAATTAGAAATTCATTATTAATTAGATATGTAAACTATAAATTCATATATAATATTTGAAAATATATGTGAATATTTAAATTTTTATCTTCTCCTTCCTCTCCTTCAATCTCTTTAATATCAATATGTGTATGTGTGTACACGCGCGCACATTTGTACGTATTTATTTAATTATTGGATAGTTGAGAGTACTTAATTGATAAAAAATTATGACAATAATAATCCTTGTTTTTTTTTCTTATTATTTACTCAGATTTTTTTGTCTATCTTATAAGATAAACACTTTAGAGATTGAATATTTCAAGTAAACTAATTGTAAGTAAATTTCACATTAATGCATATAGATGTTTAATCATGAATGTACTAAATAAGTACACAAGACGAACAGTGAGTGAGTGAGTGAGAATGAGAGAGTGTGTGTGTGTGTGCGTGTGTGTGAGAGAGAGAGAGAGAGAGAGAGAGAGAGAGAGAGAGAGAGAGTTAGCCAACATAACCCCGCACGCTGCCGATCATGAATGTACTAAATAAGTACACAAGACGAACAGTGAGTGAGTGAGTGAGAATGAGAGAGTGTGTGTGTGTGTGTGAGAGAAGAGAGAGAGAGAGAGAGAGAGAGAGAGAGAGAGAAAGAGAGAGAGAGAGAGAGTTAGCCAACATAACCCCGCACGCTGCCGATATGGCGGAGCGCCACTATCGCCATCTGTTGTAAAACGTGCGAGATGGACAAAATTACCACTACATGCATCTTGCATGTGTTGTGTACGTGTGATATATGTGTGCGCATGTGTTGTATACGTGTGAATACGTGTAGCACGATACTACTATGTATGCGTGGTCGATGATGATAATGATGATGATAATGATGATAATGATGATAATGATGACGGGGACGTTTCTTAATAGAAATTTTTCATATTTCGACTTTGCATTTATATATCTCTGCTTACAAATCACGTAGAGCAGAAATAAAGACACTTTTATTATATAATTCGAACTCAATCTATCGATTAAGTCTAGTATAAACTCGATTGCTTCAGCCATTATTGAGGATTCGAAATATTATAAAGACTCAAATGTCCGACTCGCGTTAAGATACACGGTGTCTCCGCTACGCCCTTAACTGGTCGCGAGACACTACCGTGTCTCTTGATTCCGCTTGAGGTCATAGGATAGTTATATATAAATTTATATATAAATTATTTTTTGTTTTATTAATTCTCCACGCAAAAGTTTCGTTTTTCTTCGTTGATTTTGTTAAAGACTTCGCAATTTTTTAAAAATCTTGTATGAATTTGCGATAATATTCGGCTAATCCGATGAATGGCTGGATGTCCTTTACTTTTTTCGGCGTCGGAAAATCCTTTATCGCAGTTAATTTCGATGAATTGGGCAATATTCCATTTTCGGAGATTATGTGTCCTAGATATATTACCTCTTTTTGCAGGAATTTGCATTTATCCGGCTGTAGCTTTAGATTGTGTTCTCGTAATCTCTGCAAGACTTCCACAAGTCTTTTATTATGATCTTCTAAGTTTGATCCGTATATAACGATGTCGTCGAGATATACGAGACATCTGAGCCCTTAAGTTCCGATCAAGACTAAATTTATTAGCCGTTGGAAGGTCGCGGGTGCGTTTTTCAGTCCAAATGGTATCCGATTAAATTCGTAATGTCCGTAGGGAGTTGAAAAGGCTGTTTTGCTTTTATCTTGCTCCGCCATTGGTATCTAGTGGTATTCTGATGCCAGATTCAGAGTGGTGAAGTACTTGGCGTTTCCCAGTTAATCCAAAATGTTCGTGATATTTGGTATCGGGAACGAGTCGCCATTGTAAAGTAATTTACCTTTCGGAAATCTGCAACTACCCTGAGTCTTGGGTTTCCGGATGCGTCAGCTTTTTTCAGCATTACTAACAGTGGGGTTCCATTGGCTAACGCTTGACCTGATAATGCCGGCATCTAGCATCTCTTTAACCTGTTTGTTTACTTCCGCCTTATGTTTCTCCGGTAGGCGGTACGGTCGTACGTTGACCGGTGCTGAGTCGGCACGCGTGGCTATCTCATGCTCCACGGTCGCGGTGCAGCTCAGTGGTTCTCCATTCAAAAGAAATAAGTTGTTTCCATATCTATTTCATCTATGGTTATTAATGTATTTATAACGCTAATTGGGCACACGTAGTTGTCCGGTTGCACAAGGCATCGTCCTATATAGACACCAGGTGCAGTTTCTTTGGCTCTTACAATTCCTGCGCTGTTTTTATTTGTGGTGGCTCGGATAATTGTTTTGCTGCGCGGCTGTAATCGGATCTTTTCATACGGTTGTAAATTTAACACGGCGTCTCTTATAGTAAGTTCCTGTTTCTTAAAATTGTAGTTAACTCCCTGCTTCCGCAAAAAATCTATCCCGAGAATTCCTTCGTATTCCATGGGAAAATCGTCTTTGACGACGTAGATTGTGTGCTTTATTTTCCGTTGCCTATGTCAATTGTCGCATGTGTCTTTCCTATTGTCCGCGCTTTGTGTCCTGTAATGCCAATGAGTGTAATTTTTTTTTTATATATAAGAGCGTCGTCTTTTAAATATTTAAGTTTTATTAATGAAATAGTGGCCCCTGAATTGAATAGTATTTTAATTGTGCCATTCTGAGCTTCGCGCATCGGTAGTGTAATTAAATCGAAACCTGCGGTCTTGTAGTGTTGGTCGTACGTGTGATACGCGATACTCAATTGTGCGTGCCGGCGGTCTCTCCTTCCGCGTCTCCCTCATTGTTATCGCGTTTGTCCTCGGATTCGTTTTTTTGTGTTTTTATTTTTCCAAAGCTTTTGACAGAGTAGATCACTATATGCTAATCAGGAAATTGAAGAATATGCATTTCTCTGACAGTACGGTGTGTTGTATTAGTTCATACTTAAGTGAACGAACGCAGGCTGTAAAAGATAAAATCGAGAGCAGGGTATCGATGTCGACTTCTATCAGCATGGGGGTGCCGCAAGGCTCTGTGTTAGGACCTCTATTTGTAAATTCCCCAAAAATATTAATAACAGTCACTAGTATTTTAAATAGGAATTTTAAAAATTAGTCGACCAAACTAGCAAGTAAATCATTTATTTATTTAGCTTCACGACATTTTGACCATATGATTGTGGTCCTTATCAATTGAAACAAATTAAATTAAAGTTAAACACATTATTATATAAATTTAGTCAGTAACATTTCTTAAAATTATATAAGTCAATCAACAGCACAAAGCGAAACATTAAACATCATAACCCGTCGAAGGATCGTCAGATTCTGACTGCTAGTTTGGTCGACTAATTTCTACAACTTCTATTATTTGTGCTATATATATCGGATTTCAGGCCTGTACTTACAATTAGATACTGCAAATATAACTACTATGCAGATAATTTGCAAATCTATACTCATTGCAATCCAAGAGACTTGACTGAAACAATTTGTAGAGTGAATGATGATATAGATGCGATATGTGAGTGGTCTGCAGAAAATAATCTCATCCTCAATTCTGAAAAGACACAATCCACAATCATGGGTACATCACGTTATATCAATGGCATTGATTTCCAACCATCCTTAAAATCTTGGTAAGCGGGACGGCAGTACAGTATTCCTCGTTCATCAAATATCTTGAAGTAACGATAACAAAAAGTTTATCTTGGGATAGGCAGATATCGAATATTACAAAGAAGATCCACACAGTACTCTATCAATTAAAACTTTGTGAACACTTATTTAGAGGCCCTGAAATCTAAGTTTGTCACCTCACTAATTAATCTAGTGTTGACGATTATTCGTTTATCCGGATATCCAAGATAGAGATAGATTCGTGATTAAATATTTTATTAAAGATCCGGATCCAAATATATATATATATATATATATATATATATAACATAGACAGGTGAAAAAATATTGAAAATTTTTAAAAATAATTCATTATAAAAATAGATTTTTGTTTTTGATACGCATATATTGTACATACTGCTAGCAGCTATCACAATAAATATTTGTGATAATATATATATATATACACACACACACACATGTATATATGTAGGTCTATACACACACAAAGTGTATATATATATATATATATATATATATATATATATATTATCACAAATATTTATTGTGATAGCTGCTAGCAGTATGTACAATATATGCGTATCAAAAACAAAAATCTATTTTTATAATGAATTATTTTAAAAATTTTCAATATTTTTTTTTAAACTGAAACAAATATAAAATTTAAAAGTAAAATTTAAATTTAAAAATTATTATATAATTTTATTATTATTATATATAAATTATTATTATTTATTACATAATCTGTGTTGATTTAATTAAATATTATTATATAAACATTTATCATAAAAATCAAAATTTGCAAATATATATTGATATATTTTTTTTATTTCTAATTTTTAATATAGAACAAAATCATAATATTTCAAGAAACTAAATCAAAAGTTTTAGAATACATGCTCTGCTTAAAAGTAAACATCTTTAAATTAATTATTAACTTATTTACTAGAACATACGTTCCAATTTTGGAATAGAAAGACAAGAACATTGACATTGGTTGGATCAAGGCAACATCTTTTTGAAGTTACAGTATTTCCACATGTGGAAAATACTTTTTCAGATCCGGCTGATGATGCTGGTATACTGAGATATTCTTTAGTGAATGGAGCAAGTACTGGGAACTTCTTTTCATTCATTTTCCACCATTCAAAAAGATCAGCATTATGACTTACGGTTCTGCAATATATCGCGTGAATTAAGCTTGAGCAGTGTATCGACTTGGTTGCGTTTGAAAAAGGAAATTCAAAGCACTCTCTTTTGATTTTTGATTTTTAGTATCTTCTGCAGAATCAAATCCTAAGTAAAGCTTGGCACGTACTGTGTATTTCACTGTTTCTCTTGCTTCAACTTCTTCAGCACATAGATCTTTATATCGCGGATCAAAAAATGAACCGATTTGCCTTGCATTAACAATTGAATTTTCATCCCATTTCATATCAAACCGTGTATTGAGTTCTTGACACACCACTTGTTTGAATTGGCTGAGCAAATCATCATCCAATAGATCACTGTTTAGATGATTGTCTAGCAGTGAATGGACAATCGGACGTACCATTGACAAGAGCGACTTATTGGCACATAATACTGTGGTTGCCACCTGTAACGGTTTAAGCAAATTGACCAAATTTTCCATGATATACCACTCGCGTTCTGCGATTTCTAAATTTTGAGCAAGTTTTGCCTTTGTTACTGATTTGTCAGCGAGGACACTTTCTACAGAACGTTTATTCTTCACGAGATGCTCGAGCATATCAAATGTAGAGTTCCAGCGAGTAGCAACGCTTTGTATTAATTTAAGCACAGGCATCTTGAAGTTTTCCTGATTTGTTTTTAACGCTTTCCATGCAATATTTGAATGACGGAAATGTCCAACCATCTTTCTAGCCTTTTGACAAAATTTATCAATTTCTTTGATTTCCAAACCTTTTGATATTGCAAGCTGCATAATATGTGCTGCACATGTTACTCCCTTATTTATTGTCAAATTTGGTAGAGCTTTGACAGCGTTCGTTACATTTATGGCGTTATCCGTAATAACAGTTGTAGTTTTCTCATCAATTTTCATTCGCAAAAAACTTCTAGTAACCTTTCGCTTATATTAATAGCTGTGTGACGTTCTTCAACTTCCCCTGTTGTCAGTGTGTAAGATTTCATTTCCCATTTGTCTGTTAAGAATTGACCAACTACTGTCATATATACATCCTGAGTTTTTGAGCTCCAGAAGTCAGAAATACAAGTCACAGTCGCGGCCTTGGACATCTCAAGCATAATCTTCTTTTTTACACCATCATAAAGCAGATGCAGCCTTTTGTTGTTTGACAATCGTTTGAGTGAGTCAATGTGAGTGTTTTTATAAAAATGGAAAAAATCGAATATCGAGCTGTTATTAAATATTTTTTGGCGAAAATCCACGAATTACGGTTTGAACTGCTTGACCACCCTCCTTACTCATCAGATCTAGCCCCAGGCGACGTTTTTTGTACCCTAAGCTAAAAGTTGCGCTCAGAGGACAAAGATTTTTGTCAAATGAGGAGGCCATTACCTTTGTAAACAATTATTTTGCCGAGTACTATTTGGTCGGATTAAAGAGATGAAAGCATCGCTGGGAGAAGTGTGTAGACTTACAAAGAGACTATGTAGAAAAATAAAAATTAATTTAAAGAAAAAATGTCTTGTATCTTTGTTAGGTCGGAAATTTTTCAGACCACCCTCGTATATATAATACATAAAAATAATTATATTATTACATTATTATGTATTATTGTAATATTATAACATAACATTATTATATTATTATTATTATGTATTTTTATTATTATTTATTATATTTTATGTATTATCATAATATTATAATTATAATTATTATTATGTTATTATTATATTCTCTTTCTATCATAATTAATAACCTTGTATGAGGGATCAACAGTTGCCAAAAAATTACAAAATCCTTCAGATTCAGTGAAGAAGATGGGTAGTTGATTTAAAACGATAAGTTGTGCTAAAGCTTGATCAATTTTTTCTTGCTTCTCTTTTGCGGCTCGCCCTCATGTGGTACGCCTTACTGTCTCTTGCGATGGACTTGCAACAAGTATCGTTATGTCATTTTGATCAGAATCCTTAGAGTTATTAAAGTCTTGATCATTGTTGTTGCCTTTATCCTCTTTTCGTCTATGATGAAAAAATTAATTTAACTAAAAGTGATAAATGCAAGGCCAACTTATCGAGCTGAATATTCGAATTGTTCAATCAAATAACATTTATTTTATGTATAAATTATTACGTTACAATCATTGAATATTAATACTAACGCAAAAATACAGTCATAAAATAAACGTTCAACCGCACGCGGTCTTCTTCAGTATATTATTAAATATAAAATCATAAAAAAATTCCTATAATGTCAAAAATTAATTTTAGTTCTTCAGAGACGAGAGTTTATGAGCAGTTAACGCGTGTTTCAATCCATCATGTGTAGAAAAAATGTCAAACCAATGTTCGCCTCGATATGATCTTTGATTTTAATCAGATCTCGAAAAGTTTCGTCGTTAATAAGGGAGAAATTAAAACGTTCCGTAGGCGCTGCAATTAATAAAAAATTAACGATTAACGTATGTCGAAATTACAATATATATCCCCAACAATTAGCAATATGCTTACCTAACATCGTCCTTCTTGACAATTTTCACCACGTCTTGAAAAAGTTATTGAAGATGACACACGACAAAACCAACAATATAAAAAGACAGCTCATTTTAAACTCTACTTGATCGGAGAGTGTGCGTGTTTATATATGATCTAATACCTATGTTTAACCGTTAATGTCCTATTTGTCCTATTATTATTTATTATTCGCTAATTTATCCAAAATATCAAAATACGACTCCCTAAGTAACTCAGTATCTTTGTTTAAATTTGGTCCATTTTTTTGTTCTTTAATATGTAGCATCTCAGAAATGAGTCTTTTATAATAATTATTTTTGTTGTCCAGAATCTTTACATTATCCCAATTAAATGTATGGTGTTCATTTCTTATGTGTTCAGAAATTACTGAATATTTCATTGAGTCCAACCTAATATTATTTTTATGTTCTTTTAGTCTCGTCTGTAATTGCCTCTTCGTTTGGCCTACATAAGATGCATTACAATTATTGCAACTGATCTTATAAACCACATTCAAATTGTATGGATGTTTAGTTTTATCTTTCTGTGCTTTAATAATATTATCAAGTTTGTTGAGACATCTATATCCTACAATACACTCTGTATTTTTTACCGAGGAAACAATCATTTCTGAGATCCTATTTATATACGGAATGACAAAGAATTTTTTATTAACTGAGTCCTTTTCTATAATTTCTGTTCCTTCTATGTTAGCTTGTCTCTCTATAATGCTTTTTTTTTAGATATAATGAGTTCTGATGTAAAGAGAGAGAGAGAGAGGGAGGGCAAGGAAGAGAGAGGGGGAGAGAGAAAAAGGGAGGGAGGGAGGAGGAGGAGGGAGGAAGAGAGAGAGGGAGGGGAAGGGAGAGAGAGAGAGGGGAATTGATTGATTGATTGATGAGCTTTTATTTAACTTTCTCAGCTATTTTCTTATACAGTTTTAACATTTACATATGTAAGATATGCGCTTTTAATCTTCTTTTAAATAATTCGAGCCTATCGCAAGTTTTAATTTTTACTGGCAGGACGTTATACAATATACTTCTTTCATAAAACAAACTTTTCTGTGCACTCCTTGTTTTTCGAAATTGAATTTCGATATTACCCGCTTGTCTTGTTTCCCTATCGCATTTGTTCCCTACTATTTGTAACTTATCTCTTAACTGAATTGGTAACAGGTTATTCAATATCTTGAAAATAAATATACATATATATATATTGTAATCTTTGTCTTACTGACATAAATTGCAACGCCTCTAGCATGTCTTCCACTTTGGTGTATCTATCACATTGAAGTATTATCCTCATAGCTCTGTTTTGTACCTTCTGCAGTTGGGTTATCTGCGTCTCCCCCATGCCTATTAATATCGTCGCGCAATACTCAAAATGAGGAGCTATGATTGTCTTATATATAATGCATCTAGTATACACTGATATGTAATTACCTACTCTATTTAAGAAACTCGTTTTTTTACCTATTTTCTTTAACATATAATCACAGTGATCTTGAAATCGAAGTCTGTCATCGATAATTATACCTAGATATTTCATAGTCTCTACACGCTCTATTTCAATTCCGTCCAGACATTTCAAAATAGTATTACCTCTCAATTCTTTTCGAATACTTCTAACTATCATATACTTCGTTTTACTTGCATTCATTTTTAACTTATTTATATTCATCCAACGTTCGATTATATTAAAAGCCGTGTTCAATTTTATCTCTATATCCGTGCTACTTTCTCCACTTACATATATAAGCGTGTCGTCTGCAAACATTTTTATATTGCACCCTTCTGGACAGCCTTCGATTATATCATTTATATATATTATAAATAGTAAAGGTCCTAGTACCGAGCCTTGTGGCACTCCGTATTCTGTTGTCAATAATTTAGACCATGTATGATTGAAACGCACTTGCTGTTTCCTATTATTTAAATATGATTTGAACCATTCTAAGGCCATTCCTCTAATTCCATAATAATACATTTTTCCTAATAATCTTTCTCTGTCTATTGTTTCAAACGCTCTCTTAAGATCCATGAAAATTACACCTACCATTTTTCCTTCGCTTACTATTAATTTCCATTCGTCAATGACAGTTTGAATCGCTGTTTCACACGAGTAATATTTTCTAAACCCCGACTGATGTTCTGTTATAATATCGTTAGTTTCCAAATACATTTCAAGTTGTTCTTTTACTACTAATTCTAACACTTTTTCAAATATTGGTAACATATTTATAGGCCTATAATCGCTCGCTTTTTTCGCTTTATCTATCTTTGGAATCGGTATTATCGTAGAGGTTTTCCAACCTTCCGGACAGAGACCTTCTCTTAAAGAATTGTTTATTATATTCGCAAATTCCTCTTTTATTACAGAAAAAGTTGTCCTCAATATATCGCTAGTTATTCCCTCTTCCGTACCTTTCTTTTTCGGCAATCCCATAACAATTTTTTCTAACTGCTCTAGTTTAATAGTCACGAAATTTTCCATAAATCCTTTATTTTCGATAATATAAATAATTTTCTTATTTATATTCATCCAATGATCGATTATATCACCGGATCTAACGACCTTTATAGAGTTTATTATACTATTAATACTTTGTATATAATATAAATTAAATTTATCAGCTATATTGCACTCTTCGATATCGCCTAAAATTTCAAAATCTATATTTCCTACCTCTTTTATGCCTACTGGCTCGCCTCTAATTATTTCTTTCAAAGTTTTCCACATAGACGTAGGATTTTCTTTATTAAGATCTATCATATTTTCATAATATTCTTTTTTTTCTCCCTAATTAATTTTACTACTGTATTTCTTTCAATTTTATACTGCGACCAATTTTGTTCGGTATCGTCATACAATGCTCTTCTATATGCCTTATCCCTTCTATCCGCAGCCTCTTTTATTTCGTCTGAAAACCATTTCTTCCCTTCCCAAACTTTCGGAATTCTAAATTTTTTCCTCGGCGCCATTACATCTAACGCACCCACTATACTATCGACAAGTTTTTTCGCCCTCTCACTGACACCCATACATTCACACTGACATTCCTGGCTTTCTTGTAATTTATTTTTCACTAATATAGCAAATTTATTTTCATCAAACTCTTTATAATTCCTAGCACTAAATTCTCTATATTTACTTTCAGTTTTACTAACACTCAGCTCAACTTTCAGCCACGCGTGATCCGTAATTTTAGGTTCA